CCCAACCAAAAACTGGCAGTGATCTTAGGTGCTCTGGAAGTGTAAGCAGATCCTGATCCACATTTGTCACCCGTCTTTTTGCTCAATTAAGTACAAACCCGGAAAAAAGTCTAATTCGGTAGGTCACATTCGGGGAAAAGGGGACGGAATTGTAGTTACGAAAATTTGAACACTTCCGTTGACATCTGTGAAACGGATATTCCATAACAATCAACCAACTCGTGATGGCGCCAGAAAAACGTTGATGACGTCACGGTCACACGACAATATTGTGTGTAAGAGCTGATAGATAATAATTTCAGCAAATCAGAAGACGTAATTAAATTGTATCAAAATATTGTTTGATATATATAATGTTGTATGATATAATGTAAAAATATATGTATGGCTGAATATTAAAGAGATAACTTCAAAATGAAGCAATTTTAACAGTTTTTGCATTTTGTACTTATTGCAAGAAGTTTGAAACTTAAAAACACAAATCTGGACGACAAAATACAAGATGTAAATACTTGACAAATGTATGTCTGGTTAAATTCGAAAAGATTTTATTTAATTATGTTTGATAATATGATTCTAGGATGAAAATAATGACTTTATTTGACGTTTTGATTGTAAATTTCAAACTTTCTTAAATTCAATCGTTATATTTATATAATGCCTACAATTGTTAAAAAATACTTGCATGCAGCGGTAGTTTTTCCATTTGGGTACTCTTGCAAAGGAGTGTCTAGGCCAATCAGTCCGTCAAACATCAGCACGAAAGAACCACTATGGTGTATAAAAAGTTGATGAGTCATATCGTACGACCTTTGTCCACCAAAGTCTATCAGATCGGATGGTGCTATACTAATTTTATATCGACCACCTCTAACTTCATTAAGTATATCATCATGAATGGTATAATATTTTAGCTTCGACATTTCATGAACTGGCGATATGTTTTCCCTCTGTGTTTGACTACTTGAATATTGTGCTTCAGTATACACAATAGATGACTTTTCGGAAGTGTGTTCGTGTTTAGAAATTTCAGATTTTAGATTTTCATTTTGCATCTCCTCTTTTGCTGGTGATGCATGTTCCGTTTGTCCTAATATCGGTGACCGTTCCTGCCTGGACAATGTTTCAATTCGGCTTTCATCATTACTGTTAAGATCTAATGTAGGATGTCCACGAAGAACTCTATCAACGACAGAATGTCCTCTATCTCCTGTAATAATACAAATAATGTTTTTTTTTTTAATTTATATGTTAGCAAGCTTACACTGTTGTTCTCCTGTTTTAATTTGCAGTGATTTGGACAACTAGCACCAATACAATACACATATAAACTTTTATTGTGTTGTGTATTTTTTTATTTACTTTACAGTTTTTACTTTATTTGTCTTCCTGCTACTATGTTTCGGTTTAGTCGTATGACTTTGGATGTGACTCGGTATTCATACATCTCGCTATCGGGTTTTTGACTATGAGAATTCCTGTTGCATTTTGGTGTTGATGTACGATTCGTCCTAGTCAAATTTATTATCAACTCCATCAACCATTTTGTTGGCGTCCGTGTTACTTTTATTTGTATGTTTGGTTGAATATTTTAGTTAGTTGAATTGTATGTCGGTGATGTATGTTTACACAGTTTTGGCTGCTCAATCTGTTTGGGTTACACGTCATATTTTGTCAATATACATGAACTATAAACAACTGGCACACCAGTTGGAGGTTTAGCTAGCTAGGTTTGATCCGCATTCCTCTTCGGAAATTACAGGTATTAAGGCAAGGATATGACAGGGTTTTTTTTCACTCGTTCCTTTGGTTGATACCATTTGATTTTGTCAGTTTTTATGGACTTCCCCTTTTGAATTTGCCATCGAGGTCAGTATTTATTCTATATTTTTTTTTTATCTTAATAAGAAAAACATAAACAATGCTAGACTCTACAGCCATACATATTGAAAAATGCAGCCGTTAAAGATAAAGATAATGTAGATGCATATGATTTCAATAGAATTTAAGATGTACACATCATAATGTTTCATTCAAAAATGAATTGTAAGTAGTGAAGATTTGATTGTTAAGTTATTTTCTCTAACAGTCCATATCATCACTAGACTAATTTTGAGCTGTTGTGGGCAGACAATGTAGGAACATAACATACCAATTTGTGACAATTTTACCTATTATGTCTGTTTGTTTTGCTCACACATTGTTGTTATATAATAGATTTTTATGCGACTGTCATACAAATGAGAGGTCTAGCTTGCTATAAAACCAGGTTTTATCCACCCTTTTCAACATAGGAGATGCATGTACCAAGTCAGGAATATGACAGTTGTATCCACTCGCTTTGTGTGTTTGCTCCTTTGATTTTGCTATTTAATAAAGGACTTTTCGTTATGAATTTTCCTTGGAGTTCGGTATTTTTGCTATTTCACTTTTTGAGAAGGTATAAGTTATGACACCTAGGATGACCCCCGGGTTTTGATGGGGTTTGTGTTGCTAAGGGTTTTTTTTTTTGACATGGCGTTGTCGGTTTATTTTATGACGTATGCGTTTGAATGTTCCTTTGGTATTTTATGATGCAACAATAATTCATAATGATCATTATCATTCTTGTAATTGAGCATACTTCTATTCCTTTTAATGGTAGGTAAGTGTCTTTATTAGGGCCTTATCATAAGTGGAGTACTAGTGCCTGTGGTGTCAGATAAAAAAAATGAACATGCATAAGGATCGAATGGAAAAATGTGTAAATTATTTCCATAGATTTCGTTCAAATAATTTATAATGTACAAAATCTAGAAATGTTGGTGAGTTGGGACTTTTAGCATATCTGAAAAAAGGAGATATGGAGATATATGTCATTGAGATAGCAACCCAAGACTGCTTTAACATTAGAAAACACTTTAACAATTCAATTCAAAGTCTTCAAGATAGACTTGTCTTCTGATGCATGTGGATATCTATGTCATGTATGATAATGTACTGTAGATTCATTTATTTTCGTGGGGACCAATTTTTGTGGATTGAAGGACTATTTTCACTGGATATATTAAAATGTGTGGTATTGCCAAAGTCTGCATACAAACTTTTAGATGTTTATACCCCGCTTTAATAATACCCCCGCTTTAAAAAAGTGGGGGTATACTGTTTTACCTCTGTCTGTCCATCCATCTGTCAGTCCATCCATCCATCAGTCCGTCCGTCCATCCCATGAATATTTTCATTGCATTTTTCTCAGGAACTACAACACAAGAATTTCTGAAATTTGGTTTCAGGGTTTATATATGTCAGCTTTACCGTGTGATGCGTTTTCAGATTCATCACTCAACAACTTCCTGTTTACGGAACACTTGTATCATTTTACACATGATAGCCATGTTGAAAATTTTCGGCGCATTTTTCTCAGGAACCACTTGACAAGGATTTCTGAAATTTGGTTTTAGGGTTTATATAAGTCAGCTATACCGTGTGATGCATTTTCAGGTTCATCACTCTACAACTTCCTGTTTACAGAACACTTGTATCATTTTACACATGATAGCCAAGTTGAAAATTTTCGTCACAATTTTTCTCAGGCCAGGGTTTTTTTAATTTGTTGGTTTACAGATTTTTCACATGAAAAAGTCATGTCGGTCGGTGGGAAAAAAAATATAAAATAAAATATCTTTCAAGACAGAAAAATATGTAAAAAGTAAAAAAATATATTTCACCTTACTAACAATATGTTTGGTATGCTATTTTGTCATCATTTCTTAAATTCTAGTTCCATGAAATGTTATTGCTCAGCTGTCATAAACATAAAATGCATGCCATCGTCTTACAACAAAAAGGGAGGTATGTTCACGGACAAAGACGAAATTAAATCTTTTTTTTCCCCCAAAAAAAAGAAAAAACAGATCCTTGTAGCTTTTCATCAATTTCAGGAAACTTGGTGAATAATAATCTTCAAGCACGAAAACTAATAAATAAAAGTTGCAAACACGTCGTACGAAAATAAGCTTTACTATTCGTGTCAAAAACGTAATAGACTCGTCCACTGGAAAGACGATGATATCTGATTCATCAGTTGTCATGCATTCCTGTTTTTTATATCCAAATGACGAATATTTTTTTACTATCTATGAAACAAAAAAAATCCAAATTGTTTGTGAATATGTAATACTTTCACTTGGTGTCTTTCACGTTTGGACATGTCCATTTCATCTATAGATGAGATGATACATCTTACAGAATTATGACAAAAAAGGGAAACAAACTTATTGTAATGGGTTTTAAACACAGGTTTGGCTCCACAATATTATTTGCGCAAACAACATTTCAAGGTCAGTTCTATTTTTAGATACGTAAATATACGGATTATTTTCGATTTCTTTTTTTTCCACAACACAATGTGTTATCAATTCTGTTAGTGTTTATGCATTTCATTCCATAAAAATTTTTTTTTTTAATTTATTTTCCATGAAGAATGTATTTGTTAGGGTCGGCGGTAATAAAAAAAGCATGAAATGTCAATTTTGTTTTTATTCTGCAAATCGGAAAAATAGGGTCGGCAATTTAAAAAACCCTGGCCTCAGGAACTACAATACAAGGATTTCTGAAATTTGGTTTCAGGGTTTATATAAGTCAGCTATACAGTGTGATGTGTTTTCAGATTCATCACTCAACAGCTTCCTGTTTACCAAAATATTTCGGCGGTTGTATCATCAGTGAGCAGTAGCTCGCAGTTTTACTTGTTTGTACTTTATTGAACACCTAAATTGGTGGGTCCTATAACCACAAAAAAAAAAAATTGGTATCCAACGAATATTGATGAGTTCACAGTATCATAATGAAAGGATTAGAATAGTTTTGTCAGCACTTTCATTTTCTTTCCAGGAGTTCATTATCTTTGTAGAAAAGTTGATAACAGTATTGTCAGTACTTTTATTTTATTTTCCAGGATTTAATTATCTGTTTAGAAATGTTGATAACACTATTGTCAGTACTTTAATTTTCTTTTCCAGGATTTTATCATCTGTGTTGAAATGTTTATAGCAGCCATTGCTCATTACTACTCATTTTCCCACAAACCATTCATTGTGACCGAGGAGAATTCACACCAGTCTAACTGCTGTGAAGCCTTCCTGTCCATGTGGGATGTCTCAGACATGAGAGATGACGTGTTGGAACATGCTAAAATAATAAGTAAGTCCTGACAGGACTGCATAGTTCTACCAAATACCAGCTGTCTAATTATTGTACCAATTATTATTAAGATTTGTTTATGACATAAATAACAAGCATTTTTAGCTCACCTGGCCCAAAGGGCCAAGTGAGCTTTTCTCATCACTTGGCGTCTGTCATCTGTAGTCCTTCGTTGTATGTTGTTGTCCGTCGTTAACTTTTACAAAAATCTTCTCCACTGAAACTACAGGGCCAAATTTAACCAAACTTGGCCACAATCATCATTCAGGTATTTAGTTAAAAAATTGTGTCTGATGACCCCGCCTGCTAACCATCATGGCCGACATGGCTAAAAATAGAACATTGGGGGAAAATGCAGTTATTGGCTTATATCTTTGAATCCAAATCAATTAGAGCAAATTTGACAATAGGTTAAATTGTTCATCAGGTTAAGATCTATCTGTCCGGAATTTTTCAGACGAATCAGACATTAGGTTGTTGGGTTGCTGCCCCTGAATTGGTAATTTTAAGGAAATTTTGCAGTTTTTGGTTATTATCTTCAATATTATTATAGATAGAGATCAACTGTAAACAGCAATAATGTTCAGCAATTTAAGATATACAAATAAGTCAAACATGACCAAAATGGTCAATTGACCTCATAAGGAGTTATTGCCCTCTAAATTCAATTTTTTTCATAAATTTTTGTAATCTTCTTCTCTGAAACAACTGAGACAAATTTAACCAAACTTGGCCACAATCATCATTAGGGTATTTAGTTTAAAAAATGTGACCAGTGACACTGCTTGCCAACCAACATGGCAGACATGGCTTAAAATAGAACATAGGGTTAAAATGCAGTTTTTGGCTTATATCTCTGAAACTAAAGCAAAAGTTTAACGGTTGCATTATTTCATGCATCAATTGTAAATAAAGATATCAGATGAGCGACACAGGCTCCTTAGAGCCTCTAGTTGTTTATACTGTTCACCCATTTTTGTCTTCATTTTAATGGCGTTTACACAGTTTTTGTCAATTTTACTCCTTTGTATCATCTTGAGTTTTAAAAGCAAGTAAAAAAAAGAAAGGCCAAAAAGTGTTGTAACGATTATGTTAAATATTTGTTGTGCTGCTTTGATTTAGAAAATGTTATTGTCTATGAGATCAATTTATCTGTAAAATTTTTAAACAACCTGCATGATGATAAATAGATTCAGAGTTGCACAAAAAGTTTGATGAATGATATGTTCAATCACATTTTTATGTCTACGGGATCCAAGTTCTCTTAAAACTTAAAAGAAAGAAAACTCAGACATTGTCTTTTACTTTTTGTGACATTTATATTTTATCATTTGTATCAGGCATTACAGAAATGTGGGGAAATGAACACTTTTTAGCACTTTTCTTTATCGAAGGGCTACAAAATATCTTGAAATTAATGCAGGATTTACAGAATGAGTACAGACAATTGATTCTTAGTTTGAATTATATCCCGGTTTGTGTTAATGTTGTGGATTTTTCACAAGATGGTTGTTGTTGGTTACACTTGTGATGTGATACCTGTATAGACACAGAAACCAGGCGTAACAATCATACTATAGCCTGCTGTCATTGCATAATAAAGGGAATGTATGTCCAGGTGTCAACCAGATGGATTCAAGCGAAATTGAGGCAGAAACAAGGCTTGAAATTAGATGTAATATTTAAGTAACAGATTTTTGTTGTTTCCAATATTTTTAATAATTTTTCTGTTGTGTTCTATAATATTTTCTTTGAAATTTTAGGTAAAGCAGTAAAGAAAACAGTGAGTAAATCAAGAATAAAAACAAATGATACAGAACGAACACCATTAATAAGAGACAGTCAGACTAACTATACATCAGATGGGGGTCCCAGTGACTGGGATACAGCTTCCCTAGAACAAAGGGAAATAACTCATAAAAAATCAGTTCCTACTGAATCAATGAATAATTACATAGTGTTTAGTTCCAGTTCAGAAACTAATTACAGCAACGATACCCAGACAGATGTTAGGGTAAGACAGAAAGATCATGTGACTAGTGATAAACAGGAAGTGGAAATTGTTAGACCAATAGAAAGTTGTGATACAAATGTAGTAAGTGTATCATCCAATCAGGAAGAAATTAACAAAAGTGATAATATACAAACAGAAGGGTTAATTGAAGTAGAAGTACATAGCAATATAGATAACAATAGAACAATAGATACAGACCAGACAGGTTCTATACAGGTTGATGTCTTAACTGGATATGCTGATGACACTCCTGTTGTATAATGTTTTATTGTTACTATAAGTCTAATGTATTGATAATAGTATGGTAACTACAATTACAAATTAAGATTGTAAATTATTGCCAAGAAATTTAAGTTACTGTGGATTCATTTATTTTTGTGGGTATCAATTTTCGTGGATTGAGGAAAACTTGCATTTTCATGGATATTTGATTTCGTGGTTTTGCCAATCTCTGCATACAAAGCCTATAGAAAATTTGTAATTCGTTGAACATTTGAATTCGTGGTTCAACTTTTTCCACGAAACCCACGAAAATTGATTTCCAACGAATAATAATGAATCCACAGTAACTTATGTATCTGTTGTTATATTTAGAATTTTATGACAACAGCAATTCTTGATTAAACCTGCAGGTGACATCCAAAGCAATGTATTTATTTGTTTTGTATTACATAGTGCCATATATACTTAATATTGATACTTAATATACAGCTTTGCATAATTGCCAACATTTTGAAGTATGTCTTTCAATTTCATTGTTAAACCAGGGTTCTCACTAAGGATTTTTGTATGACAAAACAGGTCCAGGGACTTTGATTAATTGATTATTTTTTAAAGCAATCTAAGGTTCACACATTCCTAACAAGTCAAGGGACTCTTCCTGTTTTTGCCATGGTGATATCAACAGTGAAAAGAAGAAATTTTATCCCTATATTATTTAATATTTCAGTGTCCATTACAACATAGAGCAAGGAAATACCATCAGATTTAGATTATTTTTTTAAATTTTGCTATAAAATGATGATATGTGTGTTCAGTGGATACAACATTTTATAATCTTCATATATCTTTTGACTCACCAGTTTTGAAAACGACAATTTCAGACAGATTTTCATGAGTCCAGGACTCATGGAGGGGCCTTAGTAAGAACCCTGATTGTTATTTTATTATTTATTACTATTTTGTCCATTATCTAAATGTTGATGTCTGCTGCAATAGATTATTTATTTTCTCTGAAATTGATGAATCTACATGAAATAATTTAACAGTTGGAAGAGTTTATGTTAAAAATGTACATATTTATTAATAATAAGACACCAAAAAAAGTTCCCTTAAATGATCTGCAAACTAAAAGGCTTTCAAAATGTATTTAGCATTTACAGATGTACGAAATGTACAAATCTCACATTTTATTCTGTTAAAATCTTAATTAAAATGAACACATGGACTACATTTCAAGTTGATGTTAATTCATCTTTATGGAATAAAATTGAGAATGGAAATGGGGAATACGTCAAAGAGACATCAACCTGACCAAAGAGCAGAAAACAGCTAAAGGCCACCAATGGGTCTTAAAAAAAACTTAAACCTGATATTGGACAGACTTACAGACAAACAGCTGGACGCAAAGACCAGAAAAATTAATGCCCTTACTCATGTAAGTGTGACATAAATAAATAAATGTACATAATTTTATACAGGGTAGTTAGTAGTAAAATCACTTTAAATGGTTTTTCTGGGAACAATTAAAATGTATCTGTATTTTTAGTCCCTTTATTCTAACATCTACAATCTAGCATGGATATGCATTAATAAATTCCTGTTATTCAGCCTATATATCCTTTCTCAGCTAGAGTAGTTGTAGACACAGTACAATAAATACTGGACATTTATTCATATATTTTACTGCCCATCATTATTGTGCATAGGGAGACAAGTAGTTCAACAATACTGAAAATAAGAAAGTTAAACTTTTATAAGAATTATCATTATGTATGTTATCTTACATTGCTGTAGTAAATAATAAATTACTAAATGCTTTTGTTTTGTTAATTTATTTATTTCTTTATTTCAACAAATATTTTAGACTATATTTCTGTTTTGAGTTACCAGTTTATGAATTTAAAAAAAAGGTAAATTATGGTAATAACTGATGATAAAAGCTGCAAGTTAGCATTTATATGTTTACTTTTGCTGTTTTCAATTTGATTACAAGATTGTTTAGGTGAGTTCATATGTTTTTTTAATGAGTGCAGCAAGCAATGCTAAAAAGGTGAGCTCATACAGCTTTATATGTGAAGAAAAATAAAGAAGCATTTTTGAAAACTCCAGATGAATGATTTGGAAAAGTTTACATTATCAGATTTAAGACCTAAATATATAAGTATTTAATGTTTTAGAAAGTCAAATCTATGTAATGATTTCTAGGCTCAGTGCATGAGTTAGCTTTGGTAAAGCACATTACTACTGAGTTCCACAATTTAAGAGTAACTCATTACTGGACTTAAAGCTTTACACTGCCTTATGTTGATCAAAAGTTATGCTATTTATGCCCCACCTATGGGCATTATGTTTTAGGTCTGTGGGTCCATTGGTTTGTTCGTCTGTCCGTCTGTCCCGCTTCAGGTTAAAGTTTTTGGTCAAGTTAGTTTTTGATGAAGTTTAAGTCCAATCAACTTGAAACTTAGTACATAAATGATATGATCTTTCTAATTTTAATGCCAAATTAGAGTTTTGACCCCAATTTCACGGTCCAATAAACATAGAAAATTAAAATGCGAGTAGGGCATCCGTGCAGAGGCGGATTTAGAGGGTTTTTCAAGGGGCCTGGCCCCCCCCTTTTGTGGGAAAAAATTGGTTGATTATATAGGGAATCACTAAAGCATGACTGGAGCGGGCCCCCTCTTAAGCAGTCAGTGGGCCCTCTCTTATGAAAATTTCTGGATCCGCCACTGCCGTGTACTATGGACACATTCTCTTTCTTGCTTGTTTTATTCAAAATGGACTGACTGGTTTTGGACATCTGTAATATAAAAAGTAAAATCAAAAAAATTCTGAGCTTCTAGGAAAATTCAAAACGGAAAGTCCCTAATCTAGACAAAGCACATTACAAAAATGAAAGACAAGAATACAAAAAATTTACAATAGCACAATAACACAATGACGGGATGTAAAAGTACAGAGCGACATCATATGTATTGTAGAAACACAAAAAGACATATAGACAAAGCACATTAGACAAGAATACAAAAATTATCATAGAACAATAACACGACGGGATGTATAAGTACAGAGCTACCTCATATGTTGAAAAGAAACACAAAAAGGCATATAGACAAAGCACATAAGCAAAAATAAATGACAAGAATACAAAAGTTATCATAGAACAATAACACAATGACGGGATGTATAAGTACAGAGCCACGCCAAATGGATATCATCAAAAACAGACTAAAAACTAAAAGTTATATTCATAAAGACAAATAAGTATTAGATACAATACAAAGATAACAAAGAAACAGGCCGGTAACAACCGTTGCCAGATAGTTTTTCTGCACAAGTAGTCAGGTCAAGGTACGAGGCAATAGCCGAGGACCTTGACCTGACTACAAGTGCAGAAAAACTATAGGGCAGGTTGTTTCCGGCCTTTTTTTTGTTACTTTTGTTTTGTATCTGACTTGTACGACGTTTCAAGAAAGAAGAAGTACATTTTGCATTTAGAAGAAGTAGCAAAACTAAACATATTAGAAACTTAAATGGCCATATACAAGTTAATGTAAGTTACTAAGTGACAGTTAAAACAATTTTATTCACTTCCCTTCAGCCGAGTTTTTTTTCTCAAAAATTCAAGAATCTAATAACTTTATACAAAATAACCATTTCAAGTAAAAGATGAATGTTGCACATATTTGAGACTTTTTAAAATGCAACTTCGCAAGTAAGCAATGTATGAAAAAAAATTAGGTAAGCAAGCTACCATTTGATTTTTATTGGGGAAAAACGGAAAGGGGGGGGGGGTAAAATAAATTTAAAATAAACAGGCTTGATTCTTCTTTTTGTACGTTTGCCGTCAAATATATGAATTCAATATATATTAATTCAATACTGATGAAGTCAATAACAATATAAATGTATCAAAAGAATGAATTTCCTATTTCATTAGTGAATGAAATGTTATGAAAAATGGATTTCGTCTTGTTATTAGAGATATATAGGCATATATTTTGGATTTTAAAAAAATCATGCTTATAGGTTTTTATATGTCTCTGTTAGTGTTGAGCAGGATTAAACACGTGTCACTTTATGATCCAATCGCAGCTTACCGTCCAAAATTGATGACATAAGTTGAATGATTTTCTTCAAAATTTGCTGCCTATTTGAACATGTATTACACGGACACTTTTTATCCATAGGATCAATCGTGCATTGGTGAGTTGATAGGGATTTTATCTTTTGATTAGATTTGATTTTTTATATATATTTCCTGTCTTTTTTATTGAAATATAAACGTCGGTGCCGGCATTTCTTTACTTGCAGAATACTATTCATGTCTTGAAAAAAAAAATACATTTACGGACCGACCATTTAGCTTCAAAAAGGGGGTATGTTCTTTTCTGAGTAAGAAATTTATTTAGTTTTTCAACGCTATCACCCAAATATTTATTTTTCGAAATTGACACTAGTATATACGCTATTCGGAAAATCAGGAATCAGAACATTATTTTGTAGTCTAAGGAATTGACCATTTAACTTCAAAAGGGGGGGTTATGGTTTTTTTGCTTAAAAAATATTTTGATCCCCAATTTTATGAGACAAAATATATTGTGTCAAGCAGATGACTGATATGAATAGTAATTTACTGGAATTGTAAGAACAAAATATAGTTATTGATACTAACGTAAATATTTTAATTAAAAAGACAGGAAATATGTCGGTGAAACAAAAAGTTCAAATCTGATTGAAATTTAAAGTGCCCATGAACTGACTGATCATGCACGAGTGATTCTATTCATACAAAATGTCCGTGTAACAATTAAAAGGTGTCCGTGTACCATCTAAAAAGTGTCCGTGTAACAACCGTTAATGTACTGTTTTTCTATAGCTCTGCTGGGGGCAAAGTCGTACAAAAAAATACTATTACACGTTATTAAGATAATAAACAACGTCAGTACCCAGAATCTATACTTCAAGACCATCGTGTACTATTTGTGAAATTGATGCAGAATATTTATCAACAAGGTCTTGCCACCTTCCAATGAATTTTTTAGAAAAAGGACGAGACGTTCTTTGACTTATCCCTGGTTCATTAACTTTCTACTTTGATACTGGTGACGTTTTACAAAGTCTGAGAAGGAGCTGCAAGCTCTTGAATACCGAATAATTTGGGAAATGTAAATCCCATATACAGGTGAAGTTGGTATATTGCTACTAAGGTAGGGGATATTGATAATTTCAAAATTAAAATCGTCTCGTTTGTCATAGATTCTGGTACTGAGATGACCGTGTATGTAAAATTCGAGGTATAAGTCTAAAAATGAGGCGGAGGAAGCAGTATCTGTTGTTTCTTTTAAATTCTAGTTCTGGGGGATATTAATTATTATTAATGGAACCCAATCAGAAAAGTTTGGATTGTTAATGGAAAGAACATCATCAATATATCTGAATGTGAAATTAAATGACCTGGCTTCTTTGATCTTCTTGTTTTTGAAAAGAGTCTGAAGGAACTCCGATTCATATGAAAATAAGAAAAGGTCGGCAAGGAGAGGCGCACAGTTTGTTCCCATAGGAATGCCGACAATTTGTTGAAAAATTCTACCTCCAAATTCAACAAATATGTTGTCAATAAGAAACTCCAGCATACTGACCACTTGTTCCTCTGTGTAGCATGTTTTACCTTTTTGTTCACTATTAACAAAATATGCCGTATGGTATCCCAAAGTAATAAATGTATAGCGTATGCTACCATTTTTATGTTGAAAAGCATTGTGGATTATTTCTTTTAGACGATTTTTCAATTTCATATGGGGAATGGTGGTATACAGGGTATATACAGGCGCTGCTGGAATGTTGCTACATAGAAATGGAAAGTTCCCAACTGGGAAGCTGAAATCATCTCTTTTGACGCAAAGTTTTGTTTTCAACAGACCCTTATTGTCAGTTTCTTGATGTAAGTGAAGATATGAGGCAGACTTAACTGTATCTGTTGTATCCTTTATCTCTAGTTCGATGGGATAGATGCGTTCGACATAGTCACCAAATGTTGAATTATTTAACGAGAGAACTATCTTGATTATACTAAAATCACCAAATCCAGTCATAGGACCCAAACAAATTTTACACGCCATACGTCTATAAAATCGTAGCATTCTGTAAAAGACGAAGCATCCACCGAATGAATGCTGTGCGTTCAGGGCCGTAATCCACTTACAAACGGAAGATACCAATGATGTCATAGGGTTTGACAATATATATGTACCAATCTGCTATGTTTGATGTTTTATCACTGGAAAATTCGTATCGAATAGCACGGAAGTATCATAGTGATGTCAAAGGTGGAGCAGGAACTGTTAACCTTTCGGCGCATATGATGATACGCATAAATTTGTATTATCCTACATTTGGCCAAGTTTTTAGATAATTAAATTACCAATTTCTGGCAGTGTATAAATTTGGTGAAGTCATATGATTATAATATACAAGAGTGCATACGCTGAAATGTCTCGCCTTCTTTACTAATCATTGATATTATGTTGATAGTCCTAAATATAAAGCTTTACTACAACTATCACATAAACTTAACATGATCCAAGAAAATGAGGTCAAGGTCATATAAACCAAACAAGAAATACATGTACACCTTACAATCATTCAATACACTAAATATAGTTGACCTATTGCTAACAGTATCTGAGAAAATGGCCTAATCACGTAAAGAGTAAAATAACAAAAATACCGAACTCCAAGGAAATTTCAAACTGGAAAGTCCCTATTCAAATGGCTAAATCAAAAGCTGAAACACATCAAATAAGAAACAGACTTAACC